ACGTCCTCCCTCACCTGGACGTCCTATTGTGTCACCTGAACCTCCCTCCTGTCCTTCTGTTCTATGTTTAGAGGTGTGAAAGTCGCTAATGTCCTCCGTGAGGTTCACTTTTCCATCCCCTCATATGTGTGTCTGTGTGTGAAGAAGAGATAATGAGAGAACGGGGAGAACGATTCAGCTCCCCTTTCCTCGTCTCATCGCTCCTGCTCTCCCTAAGATCTGTCATCTTTTATATCCCAGAATTCATTGCAGCAAACAAAGGGCACTGATTCATCCTGACAGCCTGCCTCTCCCTCCCTCTCTTCTTCCTCTTCTTTCCAACCTCTCTCAGACATACCAACAGTCCTCCTCCTCCTCCTCTCTGCAGTCAAAGAACAGGAAGAAGAATAAAGGTAAGCAGGAAAGCCACCTGTTAGGTGTGAACAGATGCTGCCAGTTGTGGTTTTTCACTCATCCACTAATGGAAGCAGGAAGAATGTGAGAGCAGCTGCTGCTTCACAAAGCCAGCAGTCATAGTAACACTTTATTTGATACTGATCTGAACTGAAATGATACTTTGCACTCACAAAACTAACTCGGGAAAACTCAGTTAAAGAAAGGTTGTGATGACAAATTTGACCAAACTAAAAAATCTAAAAAGCGAAGGGCATTTTTTATATAAACTAAGCTTTGGAACAGATGTTTACTGAGACTACATGACTGTGAGTCAACTATCATCAGAAAAGGTGTGCTTGTATTGTAACAGCTGTTCTGAACCCCTGAAAAGTTTTTATGTCTAATTCAATCTAATTAAACACTTTAATCCTAACACTGAAATGAGAAAAACCCCACTCTGGAAAACAAAAATTCCAAATAAAATTCAAAAATATGAAATTATAACTCTCATGTAACGGAAATAAAAATGTCATAATGAAAATGAAGGCAGTCACATAGCTGAGGAGGAGTGGGGCAAAATCACTGGTGCATTTGCTCCCAATAAGAGGATTTGTGGTAGATTCTTAATTTTCTGGTGTTAGATGTCAGCATATGGATGAATTTTTAAGTTAATTTCATATTTATGTGTGTAAACACCATCCATAATTACCAGCTCATGCACATCTGCTGCCCTTGCCCATATATTTCAGCTTAGAGATTGGCAAATTCCTCCATGATCATGCTCAGGACTGGAGGTCTGACTGAAGGGTTTACTGGCTAGCAGGAGAACATCTAACATTTCCAGTTTTTCATGCTTCCCAAAGCAATTTTTGAAGGCAAGTAAATCCCATGTGGAAGACAATTATATAGAAAAGACAGGACATTTAGTTTTAGTCATTGTTTGTTTGTAACAAACTCTTCTTGCGTATTAAGTGGATCCAATGTATCTGGAGACAAATGTGGAAAAGTTTGTCATATCAGAAGACCTAAAGCTGTGTAGTACAGTATCACTTACACAACTAGAAACTGGAAACACAAGCGGAACTGCATGTTTTCTAATCTCTGACCAACTAGAAATTTTTTTTTTTTTGAATGATGAGTTTAAGTGGGTAATTTGGGGTGATTTCCTCTCTTTGTTTTAATTGTTCTGTGACCTTGGGAACTTTTGGAAAACTTTCATTTACAGCTCTCCAATTTGTGAATGATCTGCTTGAAAGCTCAATGTGAAACACATTGATTTAAATCAAGGGGAAACACAGATAACCAGCTGGCCATTAGAGGTTCATTTAACTTTTTGCTGGCATCTTTTATCTAGAGTGTACAATATGAATCAACAAGCTCTAGTTTTACTTTCAAACAACAGCTAAAAAAACCTGCTGTCAGTAGTAAGGGTTAGTATCCCAAGTAGTTTAGGTACATATATAACATTATTATAGAAACAATGCCAATGGATCAAACCAACCCCTTTGTCTAGGCTGTTTTTCTTCTTATGAAAGTGAATGAAATTTAACCCACTGAAGTTCTAGTGCTGTGTTGTCCTTAAATGGCTCACAGACAGTTTGTATGTTCATCTGATCAGGAAAACATCTTTTACCTTTCATCAACAACTAAATGGAAAGAACTTTTGCCCCTTCTTCATCTTTTCACCTCTCAAAGAAGCTACAAGAAAGTAGATCTTATAACCAAATGAAGAGTTCCCCTTCATTTTCCATCACTGTGGTAAATACACAGACATGGTGAATATGTAATGAATGTTTATATTTGTGGTAACTTAGTCTGAAATATATCGTCAGTTTTAAAAACTGCTCATTGTTTCGTTCTGTTTTGTGTTACTCAGGCTAAAATAAACAAGTGGCCACAATTAAGAAGTTGGGAACTGTAGCTGTTTTCTGAGCTTTCCTATAATCAATGATTTTAAAGAATGGTGGGCTTTAAAAATTCATTATTATATAAACTGATAAATTGCTCCAGTAATACTCAAGATTAAAGTCAATTTCTCCATATTTTTGTGATCATTTATTAACAGTAATGCATAATTGAAAAACCTCATTGCTTTTCATGCATTTCACAGTTTGGGCTGAGCCAAAGAAAACATGATTTATGGTTTTAGCAGTTGAAATAAACAGTCAAAAAAAATCGATGTAAAAAAATTGTAATAATTTGCTTATGAGGTAGTTTTCTCACCTTGTAATCGTTTCATACTCATGCAGTCTGTGCAGACAGCTCTGTGTTTGCATTTTAACACGTTGTTCCCATTTTGCATGTTTTGATGAGCGTGCTGCAGACCGGACTGCAGGCGAATTTGCTTTCAGTCAGTGTGCACACATTCACGAATCCAGCATTTCTCTATATCATCGTTAACATTTATCGTTGCAGGATGATTACTGTAACATCAGTTCTTACCTTTTTAGTTTTATTTACATAAATGACTCAGTTGATTCTTTATTAGGATTTTTTCTTCTTTTTTTTGGATAATTTTACTCACAGCCATCAGTATTTTTTTCCCTATCTGACCAAACCTTTTTTTCTCTTCCACCACACGAACGAGGATTAACATGTTGAAAGGGATTGTTTTTTGTTTTTTTCCAGAGGCCTTTTGCTTGTTTCACCATCTGCCATTGTGCGAAAGCTTTAGCTCCATCTGCACGTATGGTCAACGGCTTTGTTTGTTTACCGCAATTAAAGCAAAGTTTCAAAATGAGTGTGATAATAATGATTTATTCACAGTTCCACTGCTCCAAGTGGTACTCTTATCAAATGTGTAATGAAATATTAGTAACTCTTTTCGTTGAGGATCAGAGAAAAAAAAAATCTTCGTTTTCTATAACGAGTAGTTCTCTTTTAAAGCTAAATTGGTGATGGTATCAGTTTATAGCCTGGAGCTGCTGCACAGAAAATGAAGAATAATCATTATTCGAGAGCACTTTTGTGCATTTTGAGGATGTAAGGTGTGTGTGTGTGTGTGTGTGTGTGTGTGTGTGTGTGTGTGTGTGTGTGTGTGTGTGTGTGTGTGTGTGTGTGTGTCGAGTGGGGTGGGGGTGTTCTAAAGCTTATTAATTAGCTCCAGACTCAAAATCTTTTCACAATGCGTAGTTGAAGTGTAGTTTTTCATGTCATGCACTGTGTAAGAATCCTGTTTCCTTTAGACCTGCACTGCCACAGATGTAAATGGAGTATTGTAACCATGTTAAAAGACTTTTCATCCAGTACTATGCAAGTTTCTCCGTGGCCTCGACTGAGAGCCAAGTTTCCCCGGTAATCTTTAATGAGGAGCCTGCTGAGAAAAATGTTACAGGGCTTTTATGCCAGAAGGAAAAGGCAGTTTTTATTAAACACCTCTTACCTTACTGCAGTGCAGCAGCATTCTGTCAAGTCCAGAGACTGAGGCATTGCCAAGAATCATTGCTACATTAGGATGTGACATTTTGTGAAAGATTTTATTCACACTGAAGTGAGAACTTACAAGCAGCATTAGTGCTACCCTTTGAATGACACATTTTCCTTCTTTGAGTTTGTGCTTTCTTCTAGTTTTGAGATCATTTTCTGTCCGTGAATTCCGCTGCCTTCACATTTCCTCCATGTTGTTCCAGGACGAAGTTTGGCCTCACTGAGTCGGAGGCGTGTTTCCTGCAAGGCGCTGGGCAGAGGAGACTGCGAGGGTTGGCTGTGGAGAAAGAGAGATGCAAAGGGTTACTTTTCTCAAAAATGGAAGAAGTACTGGTTTGTTCTGAAAGACAACTGCCTGTACTGGTACATCAATGAAGAGGTATGTCTCAAAACTCATGTTGAGGTTTTTACTGACACAAAAGTGATTCTTTAGCAGAGGAGGCATTACCACAGTCGGGACCTAGAACTACAACACCATACAAGTGGATGTGCTTTGTTTGAAGCTGCCCTCCTGCTAGTGTGTGATAAAGACAGTGGGAGACGTTTGCATATAGTTTTGTGGAAAAAAAACAACTATACTTTCTTTTAATTTAAAGATGTATGTATCAAGACATAATATACTTGGTCCCTAACATGTTAATTTGCATGAATAACACAAATTGTTCATGCAAATTAACTCCAAGGTACATGCAAAGCTCAGAGAATTTATTAAAAAATAACATTTAAACAAAGCATTTCAAACTCTCCTTGCCTCAGTTAACATCGTAACTGTTAAAGTTCATGACAGTACAATTAGAAAAGAACTGAATGAGTATGATTTGTGTGGAAGGTTTTCCAGGACAATGCTTCTTCTCTCTGCAAAGAACATGGTAGCACAGCTTAGATTTCCAAAATAATATATGAAATAATAACTTCTGGGACAATGTTTTTTGGACAGATGAGACCACCAAAGTAGAGATATTTGCACATAATGCACAGCATTATGTTTGATAAAAATCAAACACAACATATCAAACCTGTTATGCCCCTTTGCAACACCTGCTCCCTTTGCAGTGGCAGTGCACGAGTCTTCAGGTCTTACCTGGGTTGAAATGCTAATTGACTACACCTGGTGAGGTCCAAAACCTGGCACAGCTGCCAGGCTTTCGAGGGGCGCACCAGTTTTGTCTCTGTGGTACCACATGTTTTAGCAAACTTATTATGTCATTTAAAATAAAATCTATTATTTTTTAAACTGTGGTGTCAGACTCCATATTTATGTTGCTCCTTTTGAGAAAGGTTGTAACATAAATGGGGGCTTGTCCGGGATATTTTGGACACTTTAGATATGTTTGTGGAGACAAAACATCAGAGGTTTTGAGTGATGATTAAGGTGTTAGCTGTGATTGAGAAAACTCTCCTTAGCAAATGTGTTTCAGCTGGGTGGCTGTGCTGCCTGTCCACTGTAGTACCTGTTTGGTGGTTTAGTTTATTAAGTTTGGTGGTTATCCTGGGTGGGGATTCAGACTTCAGAGTTTCCTTGTAGACTGCATCTCTGATCTGCTCCCTGCTCTTGAGTTTCCGTTCAAAGTTGCCTCAAACATCTACATCTAGTAAATAAGTGTTTATGGATGCCAGATGATGAGGTGAGTGCTTTGTGCTGTGACCTTTAGTGTTGTGGAAAAGCTGGCTACTTTTGTTGGATCACTTGTGAGTGTTGTTGGCCAGGTGACGGCCAAAAACATTTCTTTAAATTGTGTAGATATTGCACATCATTTGGGGTTGGTCACTAGTACGCTTGCTTTACTGAATTTTCTAGATCAAAGTAACTTGTTGTGGCATACTTGGTGTGGTGTGTGACTGTTTGTGTGATGGCAAGAACAGATCACATGGTTGGGATTGTTGGTTGATGCTTTTGGTTTGTGTTGTAGTAATTGTCTGAGTAATTACTTACTGAGTAATCCTTTTGATTTGTGGCTGTTGTGCTCATCTATGTGCTGGTCACATGTTACTTTTGTTTGCTCAGTGCAGCAACTTGGGATCCTCATATCCATGTTTGAAGATGTCAACTAAAGTTATGTGTGAGGTGTTAGGCCCTTCTGCAACCTCTTTTCTCTTTGCAATTTAAAATTATATAATAATAAAAATAAAGTACATTTTTAAAACTCTGGTGACAGTCTCCATATTTCTGTTTTGGCTTTTGAGCTTGGTCTTAACAAGCACAAACACCTTATGACAGCTGTCAAGATGGAGGTGGTGGAGGGTTGAGAGAGAGCTGTGTATAAACAAATACAATGCATTCATCAACTAAACTGAAACTGAAGCAATGTTGTAAAGAAGAGTGGGTCAGAGAAACAATGGGAGAGACAGAAAAAGTCATACATAAAATCATTATTTCAAGTTGTTGCTGTCAAAAGTGGTTTTATGAGCTACTGTATCACAGGGTGTACTTTGTTTTTCTACACACTACTTCTGTGTTGTGACTTAAATAAATAATGAAATAGTGGTATATGTAGTAAAATGTGGTATACGCCTGAGGTTGGATTTAAATAACTTTAAGAGTAATTTCTTCTTTTTTTTTGCCCGATATGTAAAACCATGGAATTGACAGAACTCTTACATTTTTTGCACATGACTGTAAAGTCAAACTTATTTATATAATTTGATTAATTTGTATCAACATTAGCGTAACGTCTTTATTTATTTTTAACATTCTTTTTTATCCCACCATCACTTTTTTCCCCTTCTAGTTCTCTGGTTTATGGCTAAATAAACCAGAAAAAAAAAAGCTGGCAAGAATTCGCTTCTTAACACTGTCAGTGCAAACCCCGTCAGTGGCTGACCAGAGAGCTGTTAGGTTTTAAAGTCTTATCTTTATTTAATCTGACATTCATCAACCTCTTCCTGTTCAGTCAGACTTAGAAAAAATAATGTGCATTTGGAAAAACAGAGAGTGAACACATGAAATCAACTGTTTTTTAGCCATCCTCTTTTTCTTTTATTTTTTTGGCTTGCTGTCTGTCTTTTTTTTTTAATTTCTTTCTCCTCGCTCTTTGTTCAGGATGAAAAAGCCGAAGGTTTTGTCAGTCTTCCAGAATTTAAGATCGATCGAGCCAGTGAATGCCGCAAGAAGTAGTAAGTGCTTAACAAATGCAGGTCTCTTGCATATATATGTGTATGTTACGTGCAGATCACATGCTCTTGAATATATGAATGTGTGCCTGCAAAAATAACACCTTCTATCCCTCTAGTGCTTTCAAAGCTTGCCACCCCAAGGTCAAGAGTTTCTACTTTGCAGCAGATGGAGTGGATGACATGAACAGGTAAAGGAGTGTGTGCAGGGTGAAGGTTATAGAATAGGGCAGACTTCCAGCTGGGTGGCTAAACACCACAAAAGACCCTTCAAGTAAAAAGGGGGAAAAAGTGTTTTATTTAATGTTTAAAAAGGGAATTTGTTTTTATTATCAAAAAATTTTAAGACATTTTCACAGAGGCCATTTTTTTATAGGTGGCCAATTTTTTTATGAGTCACAACATACTAAGGATAATATATTATACCTATGTACCTGTTTTTGTCTATTACTGACTTTTTTAAACAAAATATGTATATATTTGTTCATCCATGTCTTACATAACATTTAAACCATGTTTGATATACCTATTTACTTATATGATGTAGTTATCATGCTGTAGATCAGAGCAGCTCAATATCGTTTCAAACTTTTAAAAAAACAAAAAATTTAAATAAAAAGAAGTAATAATTTTTTCCCAAGTGATTATTTATGTACACTGTGAGACTTTGGGACCCCAAGCGAGATTGTTATTTTAATGTTTAATTATTTGTTTGCGTACATTATGAGATAATCTAATTAGTTCCCCCTTCTGTTAGGTGGCTGAGTCGCCTCAACATGGCCGCTGTAGGCTATGCAGAGCGAGAGAGGATACGCCAGGAGCAGGGTGAGGGGCTCATTCAGCGACATGGTGAAGGGTTCTTCAAACGATGGCTGCTGTAGGATGTCATCTTAAGCCAAAAACACAATAATACTTCTATACCTATTGAACTTATTGTTATATTCCCAGAATAGCCAGATAAATCTCCTAGGGGCTTACTGGGAGAAAAATTTGTTAATGGGCAACTAATGACCCCGTACCACACATGACTGTTTCATTACACCCCCAGGCACTCAGAAACCAAACAGTTATTTTTCATCCGCTTGGTAATGATGCAATTAGCTATTTCTGGAAATATATTCTCCTTCAGTTCTCAAAAACTAACAAGCGCAGAGGAACCATTCACTTAAAAGCGGTCCACATTCTTCACTCCACTGACGAAATGTGAAGTAATGTACATATTTTCCAGATTTTTTTAAGGTCCTGGGAAGAAAAGAATAATTTACAAGGTTAGTTTGAATTTAGCAAAATGTTAATAGTGAGCAAACCAGGTAAATGACATTATAATTTGGGTAAAAGTATTTGAACTATAACTTTGGACATAAGCAAAGATAATCAACTCAATACCCCCAAGGTTTTGGATGGTAATGAGGTGAAGCTAGTTGGGTCTAAAAATGTTGAAAACAAAGCCACAAAAACCAAGGGAATAAAATGCCATCATTCATACCATTTATACCAAGAAAAAAGTGTTTTTTTCAATGATTAAAAAGGATGTTTGTTTTTATTACCAAATATTTTAAGACATATTAGTTGTTAATAATTTGGTTTTAACTGTTTAGTCTGAACAGTTTTTGATCCTTTACTATGTTCCACATAAAATCTGAAGCATTAAAAAAATTCTAAAAAAAAAGAAATGTCTGGAACATGGTTAGCCAGAGGCTGCAGAATACTCTGAGACTTGTGAAAAGCTTAGATTAAAGATTTTTTTGTGTGTTCAGTTCTAATATTTCTTTTTAAAAAAGAAAACTGTTCATGGGTAGAATAACCAATGAGCTTTTTGGCCTTCGTGTCTGTTTAAAAAACTTAGCTATGAATAAACATCACAGTTTTTTCTTCTTTTTTTCCCCCCCTCTCTCTGTTTTTTTTTTTTTTCAAGATTTACATGTCAGTTGGTTGCTGACTCGTAGCAAATGAATTATTGTTGCTATATCAAAGGTTTTTTGTGTATTAAATACTCAAAGCAAAACATCCATTCTACTTGTGGAGTGAGGACCAAAATGCAAGATCCTCATTCAGAGTTTCAATAAAAAGCCAAAATTTTAATAGTTGTAATCCAGATTTAAAACTTAGTCCCAGGAGATCAGGAACAGTAAACAGAACAAAAGAACAAAGGAGAGACAGGACTATTTATACACACAAAAGGTAATCAGGGAATAGGAATGGGAATAGGGAATATATACAGCTGAAACTAATCTAGACAATAACAGTCAAATTAAAAGTGTGACACAAGAGACAAGTAGACAAGTAAAACTAGAAGTGAACTGCAACCATAACTAAAGCACATGAAACAAGAGTAAACTTGACACAAGAGAAAGCACACAAGGTCAAGATAGAGGGAAACATTAGTCTATAAAGTCAAACAGTAGCAACATGTAACCAAAAGTGAATGACTGAAAATACTAGGCAATATTTGAAAATGGAAAGTGAGTAAAAAATAAAATAAACCCAGAACAAGAAACAAAACTAAAATCACCCCACATAGCAGACAGGTCTGTCCCGGATCTGGTGTCAAGCTGGCACTTCTAACTGACTGGTGTCATGGCAGGGTGTATGTCAACCAGATGTGGGCCAGGTCTGGCAATGATGGCACTATTTATGTTCCCATTTTCCTATTTTAGTTAGAGGACCCAAATGCCATGTTGCAATACTATACTGCTATGGTAGCCAATGTTTCAAATGCAGGCTTGACAGGTTTGTGAGAGTACACTTCATCCAAAACCTAATGAGGGTTTAGTCATGTTTACTGCTGGGTGGCTGTAGCTCAAGAGGTAGAGCAGGTCACCTTCTGATCGGAGGGTTAGTGGTTCGATTCCTGGCTCCTCCAGTCTGTATGTCAAGGCTGTGAATATGTATGAATGTAGTTAGGAAGCACTCAGTTTAGAGAGATTGGGTGAATGTGGCATGTTGTATAAAGCACTTTGAGTAATCCAGGAGAGTAGAAAAGTGCTACGTAAGAATCAGTCCATTCACTGTCTGAATGGAATTTTGTCATGTTATTTTTGCACTATTGTGTTCCGGCACATGTTGTTATTGCATGGTTTGATTAACGTACACATTAGGCTGACATCTGTTGCCAGAGCTGAAACTGTTCTGGGCCAGCATAGGACCACCAGTGTGTCTGCAGCTGGCCTTGTGCTGGCCCATGTGTGGGCCACCTCTGGCAAACCAGATCTTGGCCACCAAAGGGCCGTCATTCTTTGCGGTATGTGGGTCATACACATTGTGCACATTGTGTTGGCCAGATCCGAGCCATACCAATTTTGCTATGTGGGACAAACAAGAATTCAACCTCCAACTCAAAACTCTGGGACCATCTGGGAACTGTGGCACAAAATGCCTGATAAGATGTTAACCTGATACATGTACTTGGGGCATGTTTTCTATCTCTCATGGTATTCCGATGGCTGAATGGAAGGTAAATCAATAGACAGGTGGATAAATGGAAAAAAAATGGTGGAATACTTAGTACAAATAAATAATAAATAATAAATACTATATTTATCCATTTACTTTATTTTATGCAGCTCTTCAGATTATCCTAGCTCTTCTACCATGAGGCTTCCCTCCCTTTTGATTTGATTCAAAGGAATTTGATTCATATAGCACCAGTTCCCATCAATAGTCATCTTAACCACATTACTTTGCAAAGTAAAAACCCAACCGAATCACTAAGAGGCTTCCACTAGCAAACAGAAGGTTTGAACAGCAGGTTGATTGCGCTAATTTGCTCAGAGCCAGAGCAATATACCTGATGTGGCCATGTTAGAAATAACTATAGTGTCATCATATAGAGCCAAGAGAAGGAAAAACAACAACAACAAAATCTCAAACAGGGCTGAACTTTTTCTAATATCTACATACATTGTAAAAAAAAATTGTAATATAAAAGTATTTTACTGGGTATTTTACAGTTTTGTACTGTTCTTCTAGAATATCATTAAATTTACATAAATAGACTGTGATTTTACATTCCAAATGTAAATTAACGTAAAATCACTGCAAATGTAATAAAACATAATTTTCTTGTTTTTTTAAATATATTTGTCTGTATATATGCATATTTAGATTGTTAAAATACTTTCACAAATGTATCATAATTTCACAAATATTTGTCCGTTATTTAAAAGATTGAACTGTTAAATTCAAATGTAATGCTATGGAAAAATATATAAAATGATTCTTATAGACTTTTTTTTACATCAAATAATAATAATTATTACTGTTATTTAGGGCAATTGTGGCTCAATAGTTGGCAGTCCACCTTGTAATCAGAAGGTTGCCGGTTCGAGCTCCGGCTCGGACACTCTCGGTTGTTGTGTCCTTGGGCAAGACACTTCACCTACCACCTACTGGTGATGGCCAGAGGGGAATTATAAAGTGGAATTGTAAAGCGCTTTGAGGGTCTCAAAATAAATGCAATCCATTATTATTTAAACCAACTGTTAACTGTATATTTCTGTACATTTAAGTATTATTATTCATATTGCCGCATTCATTGACCTTGTTTATAGGTAGATTCATTGTTTAATCACATTAAAATGTTCCTAATTTAATGTTTAAAAGCACTTGAAAAAGGCAAAATCCCATGTAAAATTAGGGCAACAAACTCTATTGTCATTAGTGAAAATAACCTTATTTTCATGAGAAAGTTATTTTCTGTTATTTTATGGTATTATTTTTGCCCCCAGCTGCTGAAATATTACTGTTTTTTTAGGATTTTTTTTTTTTACGGTGTACACTGACTACTGATTATTCATCACTTCAATCATGTTTAATATGAGCATCCATCAGTTTAATAAATGACAGAAAATAAGGAAAAGTGTAATTGGTTCCCATTAAGAAACAACACTAAGCTAATATGTAAAATGTGCATGATACTACAAATACACTAGATGTATGTATATGGATGGATCTGACAGTATGTGGGTGGGTTTCCTGTAGATTACTGGAGTGAAAGTGAACATGAGGATGACGCTGCCTCCAGCCCCAAACAGGACAGTCCCCCACCTCCATATGACACCTACCCACGGCCTCCATCAGTGAGTCACTCTCTCTCAAACACACACACACACTGTAAACTGTATTGCATCTCTCACAAGGTAGATATTGTACTCGGAGGCTAAATTGAGGCCTTGTGCTTCCTAGTCCACTGTAACAGTTGGAATTATTGCCAATAAAGCAATAAGTACAGATAGTGCTGAGGCTATATTAAACATAAATGTTGCTATATTTGAAGTTGAAATGGGTTGCTGTACATCATGCATCTCTGTCCTGGGCTATGTTTTTTTTAATCATAGGGTAAAAGAAAGGAAACACCAACAGCACCTTGTCCATGTAATTGAAGTTACAAAACACAGGCTGCTAAGTTTTAAGATAATAATAGAGTCACTCAAACACCCCTCTGCTTTGTCTTCTTGTCTCTCACCTACCATATCACACACTTACTCAATCAGGCAGGCATGCTGATGAAATCCTTTCTTTGAAGTGTGTCATTATGGTTGAATGAGACAAGGCGATCATTTGATGTCTGCCACATTGTCTCCCTTCCTTTTTCTCTATCAGATGAGCGCCTACTTGGAAGGAGGTCGGACCACTCGGCTGTCTTCCACAGAGACGTCTCGCTCTCGCTCATCCCAAGAGGACTTCCTTTGTGGCGAGCCCCCTGCTGCAGCTGCAGAGCCGCAGTACCACCCTGGTCCTCTTGGGGGAGGCACCACACACAGTGGCAGAAAAGCAGGGGGCAGCAACAGCAGCGACGTACAGTACAGATGTGATCCTGTAGAGGTGTGTGATGATGTTTAATATTACCTAAGTTTAATGGTCTCATTTCAACAGTTCGGAAATTGTTCTTTCGACTTCGGAGCATGAATGTGCTTTTTAGTCTGAATTTACACTCACCAGCCACTTTACTACATTCATCTATTCAACTGCTATTTAACGCTGATGCATAGTTAGCTAATCACATGACATTAACTCAGTTCGTTTAAGCATGCGGACATGGGAAAGAAGGCCTTCTGAAGTTTAAAAAGAGCATCAGAATGGGTAAGAAGTGACTTTGAATGTGGGATAGTTATTGACAGGCTGGTCTCAATATTTCAGAAAGTACTGATCCACTGAGATTTTTCCACACAACCATTACATAGTTCTGCTGTGACATTCTGATGTTAAAAGAACAAGTAAAGCGTGGATCCACCCAGCTTTGCATGTATATCAATGGTTCAGCCAACTGATGGTGGTATACTATTACTAACTATAGTGTGGGACTCTTGATTTCAATTACCGTATAAATTATATCAAATAGATTTTGTTCCTGAGTTCAGACTCTAGAAGATGATGAATATAGTGCAACAGACTGTTTCCTAATTAGAATATTATGTTTAGAGAAATACATTTTGCCAACAATAAACTACAATTTGTAATATATGAGCTGCCTTCATATGGGACCACATGCTTTGATTGCATCTGGTAAGTCTACTGAATAATTTGTTTATCTGTTGTTTTCTGTAGTATCGCTCCAGTCCTGCTGGGGGCAGTAGTGAGACAGGGTCCCCGGGCCGCTCTTCATCATCGCAGAGGCGCTCTTGGCAGGACCTGATTGAGACGCCATTGACCGAGGCTGGACTGCACTACCTTCAAACTGGACCACTTGGTAGTGCCCAAATTCCAATTCAGTTGCTTGAACACATCAGTGTTAGTGACTGCTGTTTAAGCTGTGATTATGTTCTACAGAAAGAATGAAAACCCAATGTGTTTCTGCACACCAACATGTTTCCCAGATCTTCCCCTCATAGTGGTTTGTTGCAATATAGGTGAAAAAACATATTCTTTCCAAGGTGGCAAAAAAAATCTAAAAATGGATTAGTGTCATTTAATTATAAAGTGTAAAGTTTGTTTTTCATTAGTTATTAAATCTAAATCAAAGTGTCTCATATTTAGCTAGCTCGCTTGATAACAACCAGTTCTTTATTGTTCTTATTTAGTATACAGTAAACATCTATGGCAGTCCAGCTCTTTCAAGAGGGGAATGTCTGAGGTACATGTAGGTTAAATGGTGTGACTGTGTTTCGGCCAAAAGAAAGTACAGCTTCAATTTTTATGTCTCCACCCTCTGTTTTCTGTCATGCAAACTCTTATTCCATGCACTGACATTATGAAACATAGACGTAGCATTTGCTTGGAAAAATTAAACCAGTGTGAAAGTGCCTTCAGCCTGCATTTTATCTCAAGGCCAAAAGATGGCGATAGTTGTGGATAGAGTCAATGAGCAATCAATTTCACAGTAAGGCACGCCCCTTCCTATCACATTTGTTTTAAAAACAAGATGACAACAGTGGAAATGCTCATCTTGAGGCTTCAAAACAAGCCTGTAGAAACCAGTGGATGACATCATGATAACATGATGACATCATATTAGTTATGTCCATCTTCAATACTGTATCTACCTGTACCAGGAATGCCATTTTTTTCCCTGAGCTATAAAATAAATGAGTGAATTAATTAATTAATTAATAATTAATTCTGTACAATATGGTCTTGTATAGCAGTGTCTTATATAGAAATATAGACTTATTATATATACTTATATATACTGTATATTATACCTTTGTACTTTTACCCCATCAAATTTAACAAAATGGTTGCTTCACTAAAAGTAACAGAACTGCAAAAAAAGTTTTTTTTTTTTTTAATTTTCTATATCTTAGATTGTTATTTTATTAATACCAAGAACAAGAAAGCTTTTCCAGAAAGTGTGCCATTAAAATTTTGAAAGGTCCATACACAGAGCAGAATTTCTAGTGTTTTGACAGGAACTACTCTCTGCTCAAGAAAGCGCCCCCATGAAAACTGTCTGCTATCATCTGTGATCATCAGCTTCAGCTCCCCCTCATTAAAATCAACTTTGACCCCTGCCTGCAATGATATTTGTCAAATATTTTGTGCAGCTGCTGATGCAGCTTGAAGCTTGTGTGTTTTATATATGATCTTGTGTTTAATAGTAATGTATGTGTTAAGTGTTCTTTCTGATGCTCCAATGTGGACAGTGGCTTTAAAGCTGGAATAGCAATGTGTCTCTGATTCAGTCAGAATATATTTAAAATAAATGTTACTGTATTGAACAGAGTGTTCTTTTAAAGAAATGAGTCATGTTGCATTCATGACTCAAATAACAGCAAATCAATTTTCTTTTCTTTTCATTGCAGAGGACGCCGTCTTTGCTGAGCCAGGTGGTGGCTCAATGATGGCCGGAGCCGTTTACACTCTTCCTGCTCCGAGGAATGTCCCGTTGCCCATGGCAATGCAGAGGCTGATTCCTATGGCAACCCAGGGAGGGAAACCCCGCAGCTTCACACTGCCACGAGACAGCAACCTCCACACGCTCCTCGCACCGCCTGCAAAAGAAGAACAGCAAACACACAACGGTGAGTTCATGCTGGATCAGGCTTTTGGTGTGAAATGCTTACAAGGGCACAGAGAGCTTAAAGCTAATCCGGAAGCATTATTTTTATTCACTATGTTTTAACACCAAATCAACACTATAGTAAAGACAAAAGCAGCATTCATTATACAGTACACAGAGATTTTAGGCAATAAAAATAAAGCGAAAATACTTTAAATCAGACTATGAACCAGCCACAACATCTGAACATTGATGCAATTTAACAGTTAAAACTAGCTACCAAACAAGCAGTGTTGCATTAGAAAAAAATAAATTCAAATAACACAGAAACATATGAAATGTTATATAGGGGAGAATAATGAGCTCTCCTAAAGGATTGCACAAATGGTTTAAACCAGCCGTTCCCAAGCTACATGGTCTTCTTTAAGGGCCATTAGTGAGGTTGCTGCTTTGTCTGAAAGCAAGAAAAAAGCCTCACAATTCAAACTTTGAAAACTTCTTTTAACAACAGAATTTCATTATGTTGCTATGAGACTGCAAGCAGCCACGTCTGTGGATGAAAACTAAAGCCAATGCAAAATTCCCCACTGCAGAACTGCAGTTCCTCTCTTGACCACTTGAAGCTGGCCCAAAGCTGTGTTTTAACCTTTTAGAGCCATTTAATTGAATTAAATGCCAAAAATGATATGGCCTGCTGCGAGTTACAGTTCATTCTAAGTGAAATTCTAGTATTTTATCAGTCTGTTACTAAGCACCAATTATCGGTTTCTAAGCACCAGTATCCGTGTCTATGCTTTGTACCTGTGTGGTTTTTGGATGCAGATTGCTACACATGCTCACTACCCTTAGCTTATAACTTAGGGCTTTCAAATTCAGTAACTTGTGGGAGCAAAAACACCAAGATTGAGGTTTTCTGTAGTCCAAAACCAATGGGTGATGCCACGATGACTATGTCTAGCTTTTATATACAGTCTGGTTTTCATGACATTTGTTGAATTGCTATGTGCTGCACGCTATTTTCACTGCAAGAGCTCAATGAGGGAAAATACTTCCAAGTACTTAATATTGCTCCATAATAACGGGGGCTCGGGTGTTTCATACAATGACAGCTAATTCTGAGCTAGTTGTAGCCACTGACACAACGAGCTGGAATGATCAAATCTGGAAAAAAATAATTGCATGTTTGACCTTCTCGATTTCACTGAAGGACAAAATATTTTATGTTGGGGATTAACTCAGTAGAAGAAGCTGGTGCTGCTCTCAGTGATGCATTTTTTGGGTAACAGCAGAGCGCAAAAATGTGTCTCGCTGTGAATGACAGCCACTAGAGACTGAGGGGGAGGGGGAAAAAGGAAATTTCTTTTTAAGGTGAAGATGTCAGCACATGTGCCACATATAAAAACTGCTCTCAGGCACAGACATATCCATTTAAATCATCATCAGCTTGAAGCAGAGCACACTGCAGTCATACATTGATCTAATGAGGCTAATGACACCACGGTGCTCCTGTTGCCAAGGTGAGGCAAGCAGCATATGAAAAGAAAGGACTGCAAGAGTAAATAAGACTGATTTATGTAATAGCATGATATATGTTGCATTTGTTAGGGAATGGATTGAACAATCAATTATAATGTGAGCAAGGAAATAAAACTGCCAAAGTGATGAGGGTGTCCCTGAGGCTGACAGGATTTTCTCCTCGTTAATAATCCTGCTGTGACTAATACAAATCATTACACAATGTCGTAGATGTGTCGAGGTGTGCTGCTGTCCTCCAGTGGTTGATCTGAGATATAACTTAAGGCGCTCCCCGGCCTTTTAGCTTCTAATCCTGTAACAGATGTGAAGCAAAGAGTTCAACTCAACATTAAATGTGCGGGTCTCTGTTTCCCCTCTGACTGCTCTGAAGGTGGCAGTGAAGGTGCCTCGCTGGGCGACCTGTTTCGTGCGTGCGAGCAGGGTGGGGTCTGTCCTCTGGGTCGGGGGTCGGAGTCCAAAGGTCAGTCAGAGTTCAGGCAGTCATTTCTCCGAAGGGCCGCTGACCCTCATCTCAACGAGCGCCTGCACCGCCTCCGCATACTGACCTCCACGTTGAAGGTTGGTCCTCACTCTCATTCATATAGACACATGCGCAAGACGAGCACGGGGGCACGCCAAACACATGCACACTTACAGAGGCACAGGAGGATTTTAATTTCTGACGAGACGACTGACCTTTCCCTAACCTCTCACCCAAACTCTTGTCGATGTTTGTACAGATGTAGACACCGGGTTTGTGTGATGCATTTCTGGCCATTTGAAATACTATAAAAAACAAACCAGCGTACAAACATTTTATAAGCAAGACGTTTACCACATTTGAAGAAATAAAAAAAAACTAACATTTCAGTTAAAGTTGTTTTTGATGTTCGTGGTGCATTTATTTTCACTTGTACAAAATTAATTGCTATTGCAGTGTACTGCTGATACTGACAGTATGTGTGTGGGATACTGGTCTCGAACTCCAGTCCTCGAGGTCCGGTGTCCTTTCCATGTGTCCCAGTTGCAACACACCTGAACACAATTAGTAGGACATTAGCAAGACTCTATCCGGTTGTTCAGTCTGACGTCACTAGCCGTGTCTGGGCCTAAACTCCGCTACAGGTCCATATATCAAACGATCACTATGGCATTACTGAGAGTTGAAAAACTGTCTAAAGTCTTTCATCTTTAATAAAATGATCAGCGTTCTGCTCTACCAGGTGTAACGATTGAGTTTAACATCCAGGCAATGAAAACAGAATTTATTACATTTAACGGAGTTAGAAGTTAGCAGGAAGTTAGCTCGCTAGCTTCTATCTAAATACAATATAGCATGTCCTGACTGCGGGGTTTTGGAAACAAATTAAAACGTACAGCTCTGTTATCACTTCCAACATAAATGTAGACAGAGAACTAAACAGCAGTGACGTTTGTAGGCTTACTGAAGTTTGGCTAGCTGGTATATAATGATGTGCTACGTGACCGCTAGCGACACAGCTATGTTAGCATAGCATATAAACAAGCTAACTTTTTTTCCACTCGATAAAAGTTACCGTGAGTGTTCTCGGTGGTCAGGAACAAATGTAATCGCATGGCAGGATGGTGTAAAAGGACCAAACTTCAGCCAGGAGAACAACTGAGATAATCCATCCACAATACGAGGTTAGTCATTCATATACTGCTGCATGGGCTGGGCTGGGCTGTAGTTACATCCTAAGGTTTTAAAAACTGAGTTTAAATAAATGATTAGCGGTAATAAAAGCTGAGGGAGGTCAACAGTGATCACTGACTGTTTTAGGAGCTTTTTGAGATTAAATAGAAGAAAATACATAACATTAAACATGTTAACAACACAAAAGCCATATTAAACGCAGACTACTTTAGGCCCGGAAGTAGGATTCGCCACGTCATCACTTAACAACCGGATAGAACTTAGGTGGCAATTCAGCCATTTGATTCATGTTACAGCAGCTCGTGAGTGAATGAACATGGTGCAATAAAAGTACTTTTAGGAGTAAATTTTTTCAAACACTTAACATTGACTTAAATTTACTTGAGTAGGATTAGTGTTTGCCACTTCAACATGCAGTCAAGTTCTATACTCTTGCTAGTGACCTACTAATTTTATTCAGGTGTGTTGGAAAAGAGAAACATGGAAAGGTTTCAGGATACCAGCCCTCGAGGACTGGAGTTCGAGACCCCTTCTCTAGATAAAATATTTGCTGGAGAAAAGTAATGCAATAAAAAAAAGTATTTTACGACAGAAGTTAAACGCAAAATTGTATAGAAATCCTGTCATCTGTGTTTGCTGGCTCGGTATGCAACTGTTAGCCAATGAGATGTTAATTTTGGTGAACAGCCTCAAACCAAACTATATCTGCCAAAACAGGTGTACAGACGACTCCTTACAGTGTCTTTCAGTAGAGACTCATAACCTTAAACTCAAAGCGGCCACACCCTTAATGATCCATAAGTTTAACCTTTAACCGAGTTTAAAGAAGGATACAGTTTGCATGCTAAAAACACAAAATCCATTTTTCCAAACATCTTTATTTGTGCTGTAAATTTGGATATTTTGAGAATCTATGGAGATTGAATCAGTATTGGAGGCGGCCTCAAAGGGCCTTTTGAGAAGCTGCAGCTTTGAGGCATTTCTGCATTGGCTTTATTTTCAGCTCTTCTGTGAAATCTGTAAAACGTTTGACTAGGACACAACATGATGGTTAACAGAATTGCTCTCGGGAACAGACGTTTGCTTACTAAAAACAACGAAATGGACCTCAGTAAGAGAAGTTGCTGCCAGTAGGTACTCACACAAACAATAAAGGCATATAGGAACAGACACTTTTGAGTCTGGAGCTTAGCAAAAGGTCAGTTTTGTTGAACTTTATTTTCCTTCCATAGAATTCAATTTTTGTGAAATGCAACACTGTATTTCACCTCATATTATTAATCTTACAGGTCATACTCCTCTAAAATCTTATCAGAAACTGCCTCCTCCCCATTCCTTCTTCACAAACCTTTTGAACTGTAAGATTTCTTGAAATAATGGTTTACTTCAGAAATTGTGCAAAGGCTATTGACCTCAAGGCAAAACGTGCTGCTTGTAAAATAGAAACACTTTTTCTCATCTGTTCAAAAATAAAACATTTGTTAAAGCTATGATAAGACAGAAGAATGGCTCTCTCCATGAGGATTTATTTCATAATTGTATATTTATGATAATTTCTGACTGTGATGCACACATAAACACCGCTCATGTGCTGGAAGATGTCTGTCTTGTTAGTTTTAGTGGCGTTATCTGTCACAGTGTGTCTCCTCAGAGTCCTCAGATGTCAAGCAGCCGTCTGTTGCTTCATGCTGTCTGAGCAGCAGTGATGCTCCCAGGCTGGGTGGCTCTTTTGCTGTTTTTTTTATGTCTCTAGAGTTTGTTTCTTTGTTGCTTCCTCCGTGTATGGGGGCGGGATGGCAAGTGAGGGCATGGAGGCTTTATTGCTTGCAGGTACATCAGGTTTTTTTTGTCTGGTTGGGTGGGGAAGCTTATGTGTTTGTTTGCTTGTCTCGCGTCTTTTAAAGGTATATACCAAGCTTTGGGGGGAGCATGGATAAAAAGTTTCACAAATAATCTTCAGAAGACACCACAGTGACCCTAGTAGAGGCTACATTTTAATTGCTATTTACAAGGGATCAGGTTGGATTTGTGCGTTCAGGCAGCATCAACATATCTGCAGTGGTTGCTGTGGAAACAACAAAGGATTTCATATTTTCTTTGTGTGTTTCTGCACATTAAAATTGGACCAAAACAACATGATACATTTGAATGAGAATGTGATGGCAGAAGGAATAACAAGAGAAGAGATTCGTGTGTTGTGTTTAATAACAGCTTCAGCACAAAGTCGAAGATCATGAAGTGCTAAATTAGAAATAATCTACTACTGACTGAACATTAACTGAAGCAATGTATATTTCACCATCACGATACCGCTGTCATATAGCAACATATCATCGTTGCCTTTCAATTATACACAATTTATTAACAATGATTTCCCATGTAATTTAGAAAAGAAAGTTGACAGTGCTGTCACAAAAATGTTTGTAACTGCTGATGCATTTCAAATTCATTAACTTGAACAAAGAGGCTTAGATAAGT